ACTGTCTGAATCGTTCCCTATCACCTACATTGTACAATACGTGCCATTTACTGTACAGGAAATACTACACTGTGACCAAGTGACCGATCTCAGCCGGCGCTTCAACGTCTATTTATAGTGTAGGGGGCGGCGCTTCGGCTTCTAGAGAGCATTTGATTGGTCAGAAGATTTGATGAGAAGATGAAGTACGATGTGACGTCAAAAAAATCGTTGAGCCGTTTTGGAGGAAGTGACGAACTAAAAGCTTTGAATGCTTATATCTTCTAAATGCGAATTTTGTCACTGTTAACCTTAAGACTAACATATTGATACTAACACCCAAAAAACTTTAATTTTGATTTCATGGGGACTTTAAGCTAATTTGCGCTGCTCTTGGTAGACTGCTTTGGTCATTATGGAAATGAGGTGTTGCATCTGTGTTGTTTAATTTGCACATTGTCAGTAGATTTCCACTCCCATCGTCGCGTTTTTGGAATTGCGCTCTCACGCTAATTTGCCCAGTTTAGTAAATCTGGCCCTTAGTCTCTATGTTAAGACTGTGTCTTAAGAAGTAGTCTGACCAGCTAGCAGTTCACCAAGGGGTAAATGAGTCTTATTTATTAGACGGTACACGTTTTTAGGTAACCAACTTAAATTCTGACCAGTCTTAAAGAAAAAAAAAAATCAGAGGACTAACGTGCAAGACTAGTCTAAGCATTTTATGTAACCAGCCACAGATGCTGATTCTGAGACATTCACTGACCATCCTTGCTCTATCTTGCAGCGTTGTCCTTGACATCCCAGACAGCAACATAGTGTTGGCCCAGATCCGGCCCGCATCTGGCCCGTGTGAAATCCATGCGGGCCAGATGTGGGCCGGATCTGGGCCGACACTTGTTGCTGTCTGGGATGCTACACATGCATGTTTCCAGCCATCTCTCCGCTGGACTGTGTGAAGTTCCCCCAGGAATGTCCCGTGGGCCAGAGATGTCTTGCCAGCACAGCTGTAGGAGCAAAAGGTCAACTGAACCAAACACTGCACAGAGAGTCACTGTACTATTGTACTGACTGATTAACAAATGGAACAAAAGAATGAATCAGCACAGTCTGTGGGAATGTGTGATACTGGTTTAGTTTACTTTCCCACACCATCACGCACACACAAGATGCATCTTGTGTACAGGTTTTCTATCCCGATGGAAACTTAAACCCGAATACACACCAACTCATGGGGACTTGTGTCACTAAATTTAGGTCCCCATGGGGAAACAAGCTTATAAATCATACAGAATGAGTTTTTTTTTTTTTTTTGAGAATGAAAAAATGCAAAAAGTTTTCTGTGAGGGGTAGGTTTAGGCGTAGGGTTGGTGTAGGACGATAGAAAATACAGTTTGTGCAGTATAAAAACCATTACGCCTATGGAGAGTCCCCACAAGGATAGTAAAGTAGACGTGTGTGTGATGAAGGTTGTAGGAAAGCAGTAGTGAAGGTTTTTTCAGAGTATGAATTAGAGGACTTTCATGTTTTTAAGGCAAGTTCTGCACATGTGAGTAACAGGGTGTTCCCTAATAAGCTGTCTGGACCTGATTCTGCAGAACCTGATTTAACACTGCATAATACATTTAGTTTTGCAAGTCGGGCGCATGACTATTAGCAATGTCTGTACATACAGTAGTCAACACTTGCAGTGGATCAAAAAAGTTCATCAAAGTTGTGCTAAGACAAGAATGCATTTTGGTTTTAGGTTTTAGGAAAACTTTGATGAAAGGTTTTGATCCACTTCAAATGTTGACTAGTGTATTGTGACTTTATTGTCATTCTAGCCATATGAAATAGATGATCTGAAAAATATGTAAAATGATCAACCAGTTGATTTATTTCTCATCATGTGTGTGGCAGGAAAGCCTGTGGCTGTTGATGGCACAATAATAGACCAGCATGCAACATGTTGTAGCTTGTTCAAATATAATGACACAAATATTTTTTTCCCATGTGCTGTTGACTGTAATGTGAATATACCTGGTTTACTTCATAATAACTGCCTCAAATGAAACACCTGAATATCTAAGCACATATCGCAACGGCCTGGAAACTTTGTTTTCCAATGGATTGGCAAAAGACCTGTAATCCTGGTACTTCTGGACGTTGTATCTGTTTACATAAACTTTTCTTACTAGAAACTTCACAGAGGCTTATGTGATGCTCAAGGGACAAAGTAGTTTAGTTTGTCTCAAAAAAAGTGACTGAAAAAAAGACTTTACTTTATTACCTGTGTGTCATTCAACATGCATTTCAAAGTGTGAAATTCAGAATAAAAACCAAGCGACAAACAAAATCTGAAAATAGGTCATAAGTATTGTAATAAAAAAGTAAGCTAAATTCACGTGCACAATTGGACTATTTCTTTAGTATTTTGTTGGTGCAAAACGAGTACTATCAGGTGCTGAAACTGTAGTGAATAGCAAACTGTGATCTCAGGCCCTTGATTGGGACGGCCTGCATCAGCACTGAGACGTGATGCTTGTGTGTGTCCAGGGTCAGTGTGCATCGTCCTGTACGAGCGGAGCTGTGCCCTGCCATTACAGTGTGACCTGAGAGGAGAGAAACATGCAGCAGGAGTTTCCTTCAACTACACGAATGAGTGCTGTGACACGGATCTCTGCAACACTGCTGCGCCCATCAGCTCCCCCCGCTGGACCGGAGCAGTGCTGAGCCTCTGCGGTCTGGCCCTCCTGCTCCAGCTGGGATGAGGGAGCTCTTAATCTAACAGGAGGTGCTCACTACATTATCAGCAAAGTCTGAGATTCAGAAACACCATGACATACCAACACCATCCGTTTGCAACCAATGCATCAGCTCAAATTTTAAATGCACACAAGACTGAAACTATAAGTCCATCTACGCACTTTCTTGCAGACGCCATGCTTGAAAGGAAGTGCCTGCAACCACACACACACACACACAGTGGTTAAAGCTCATGAGAATGAGTCATGTAGTTACTCAATGCTCAAAATAATGAAACTCTTCTTCTAAACAGTTAAACTGAGTTTAAACCTGCACAGCTGCTAAATCTGACAGCTAATTTGCTTTGTCTTATTTTTTATTTTTTTGCTGCAAACGCTAATGACAGTAATTTTTTGTAATTTTTGATAATTCTAGAAAAATAAATGCATATTTTTCATATTATTAGGCCATGTTCTAGAGGCTGTTCCATTCCTATAGAGCACAACACAATGTTTTCTGTCCTTTTTTCATTATTTGCTTCTCAAGTTTTTAAATCCGTTTTACTCTATGACTTAAAATTATCTTAAATATGTTGTGCTTTAATTAAACAATTTATTTTAAAATCTTAAGTTACATTAAACCTGAAATATCTAAACATGAAGGATCAAGAAAAAATGTACTCAGCATTTCCTTTTTTTATTTCAACTTTATTATAAACTGTATTGCTGAATAACAATTTTAGAAATGCAGGAAGAAAATGACTTTGTTGTAACATCCATCTAATCAATAAAATCCTCACTAATCAATATTTGCACTGATGTTGTGTTGTCCATTTGAGTGTAGAGTAAGATTTGGAAATGACTATTAAGTGGTTAAGAGGAAGTGAACACAGAAGTGCACGGGGCGAGGCATGATTTATACCATTTATACAAATATTTCTTAGAAACAGGCTGAATCAACTTAAAGAGGGCAGACTAGAGCTTAAAACATCACTGGTTTCCTCTTTTTCAGAAGACAACAAATGTGCATATATTTCAAAACTCTCCCCACACAATAAATAAGAGTGTTTTCAAAGTGGACGTTGACAGTGATATTTAGAGATGGAAGAGTATTCTAGTGACTCAAATTTGCACATACATCATATCATATAGCTACGAGATGAGACTGTCACTTGGGGCCAGTTCCTGATTTAAAAGATTTTCAGTGAATAACAACATTTATTTGAGTTTTTTCTTCTCACATAATGCATGGATTTAGAAGATCTGACACATCACGCAGGATTCCTATGGAGATGTCTCCATGACTTTGCAACATATCAATCAATGGAATGTAAAGAGTAGCTTGAAAAACAGTTTATGAAATGTATGCGACCAAAGCAGCCGTGAGTGAAAGCTGTCATTAAAGGCTATGGTTACAGACTCGAGATAATGAGTCCTGTACGAGCGGAGCTGTGCCCTGCCATTACAGTGTGACCTGAGAGGAGAGAAACATGCAGCAGGAGTTTCCTTCAACTACACGAATGAGTGCTGTGACACGGATCTCTGCAACACTGCTGCGCCCATCAGCTCCCCCCGCTGGACCGGAGCAGTGCTGAGCCTCTGCGGTCTGGCCCTCCTGCTCCAGCTGGGATGAGGGAGCTCTTAATCTAACAGGAGGTGCTCACTACATTATCAGCAAAGTCTGAGATTCAGAAACACCATGACATACCAACACCATCCGTTTGCAACCAATGCATCAGCTCAAATTTTAAATGCACACAAGACTGAAACTATAAGTCCATCTACGCACTTTCTTGCAGACGCCATGCTTGAAAGGAAGTGCCTGCAACCACACACACACACACACAGTGGTTAAAGCTCATGAGAATGAGTCATGTAGTTACTCAATGCTCAAAATAATGAAACTCTTCTTCTAAACAGTTAAACTGAGTTTAAACCTGCACAGCTGCTAAATCTGACAGCTAATTTGCTTTGTCTTATTTTTTATTTTTTTGCTGCAAACGCTAATGACAGTAATTTTTTGTAATTTTTGATAATTCTAGAAAAATAAATGCATATTTTTCATATTATTAGGCCATGTTCTAGAGGCTGTTCCATTCCTATAGAGCACAACACAATGTTTTCTGTCCTTTTTTCATTATTTGCTTCTCAAGTTTTTAAATCCGTTTTACTCTATGACTTAAAATTATCTTAAATATGTTGTGCTTTAATTAAACAATTTATTTTAAAATCTTAAGTTACATTAAACCTGAAATATCTAAACATGAAGGATCAAGAAAAAATGTACTCAGCATTTCCTTTTTTTATTTCAACTTTATTATAAACTGTATTGCTGAATAACAATTTTAGAAATGCAGGAAGAAAATGACTTTGTTGTAACATCCATCTAATCAATAAAATCCTCACTAATCAATATTTGCACTGATGTTGTGTTGTCCATTTGAGTGTAGAGTAAGATTTGGAAATGACTATTAAGTGGTTAAGAGGAAGTGAACACAGAAGTGCACGGGGCGAGGCATGATTTATACCATTTATACAAATATTTCTTAGAAACAGGCTGAATCAACTTAAAGAGGGCAGACTAGAGCTTAAAACATCACTGGTTTCCTCTTTTTCAGAAGACAACAAATGTGCATATATTTCAAAACTCTCCCCACACAATAAATAAGAGTGTTTTCAAAGTGGACGTTGACAGTGATATTTAGAGATGGAAGAGTATTCTAGTGACTCAAATTTGCACATACATCATATCATATAGCTACGAGATGAGACTGTCACTTGGGGCCAGTTCCTGATTTAAAAGATTTTCAGTGAATAACAACATTTATTTGAGTTTTTTCTTCTCACATAATGCATGGATTTAGAAGATCTGACACATCACGCAGGATTCCTATGGAGATGTCTCCATGACTTTGCAACATATCAATCAATGGAATGTAAAGAGTAGCTTGAAAAACAGTTTATGAAATGTATGCGACCAAAGCAGCCGTGAGTGAAAGCTGTCATTAAAGGCTATGGTTACAGACTCGAGATAATGACACAGCGAGAGGGAGGGACAGTAATGAGAGGAATGAGGCAACAACATCCTGCTTGTAACTGCTAGAAAAGCACTCGTCCACACGTACATTGAACAAAAATAATGAAAAACAACCACTACTGCTGCCTGTTAAACATTTGACCATAGTTTGTAATGTATCACTGCAGGCTGCCTGTGTATAGCAACAGAAATTACCTTTGACCTCTGCAGTTCAGCTGCTTTTAAAAAATATAAGACCACGTTTAGTTGAAAAGCGAGACATCTGCCAGTGCAAACAACCTAAGGTGCTCGAGACATACAGGAACCAATTGAAGCACGAGGACAATCTGGAAAGAGAACTCCTTCTATTTGAGAGCCTTCACGACGGAGGAGTAGGCCATGTGTATCTCCTCATCGCTGGGACAGGTGGAGGAGAACTCCTCTCGGGCATACGCCGCGTCCAGGTATCGCCACAGAGACGACAGCGAGCGAGGGATGGAGAAACCTCGAAACTTCAGACACACCACCTGAGAGCGGGGAAAAGAGAAGCTAAGCGTTGCATTCGTCAGCTCTCTTGCTCAAGCATCAGCCTGTTGGCTGTTTGTCTCACTTTGACGATGTGGAGCTTGGGCAGCAGGTTGCAGTCGGCCAGAGTGAGCTGTTGACCGTCCAGGAAGGGGCGGGTGGAGGAAGTGACATCGTCAGCGCTGTTCTCATCAATCTCATCCGGCAGAGGAGAGCTCAGGTAGTCATCCAGCTTCTTCAGGGCCTTCAGTAAACCCTTCTCCAGATCTGCACAAGCAAACAGTTCATACAGCTTCATTTAAAAAAATGTAAATAAAAAAACCCACAAAATGGTTTGACAAGCGCAATTTCCTGTTCCTGTGTCGACGTATTTCCTGTTCAAGGAAATGTCAAGGCTTGTCCTATTTTTAAAAGTCTATAAAACCATATTTTTTTTCTCTATGTGTCATTGATAGGCAGAGGCAGGTGTCATTCACAGTCATTCACACCAACACGAATGTCCAGTCTGATATTCACATGATGTTCGTCTGTTCAGACCAATGTGGAAAAAACGGCAGACATGCTGAATGAAAATGCAGTTCACTCCGACATTAGGTGGCAGTATGGAAAAGCAGAAATACGATCTGCTTTTTAGGATGCAGATATACGTTTTTTTTTCTATTTCTGACACCTGCCTGACACAGAGAAGAAATGAAGATAAGCATGTTTTTAAACAGCCATTCAGATTTTTTACATTTTTATTTTATGATGTCTATCAAACTACACCAAATACAAGATTGCGTGCGGAGAGCCAGGTCCAAATGCTACCTGCATGCAAACTGTTTGAAAAGACACATTAACTGTTCATTTAAAATAAACAATTTATCGCACAAAATTTTCGGTTCAAACATTCGTCTTGGCCTAAACCAGGTGAAAAGCGACGAGGTTCCAGCGAAAAGCAATGTGTCCACATGAAACACAAAAAATGGGATGTGATGGAACACAATCAATCACAAAACCGTTTCTCTCTACTTCTCTCTGTTGTCTCACACTCAAGGGCCGGTCCACTTTTCATTCCAGCATGTGAATTCAGGAAACGCAAGCTCATGCGAATTTCACTATTTTCCAGTATTTTGTGAACTCTGAGCTGTGAATTTGTATCACTTGAAGATATGTGACCAATAGAATATTAAATAGCTCATGTTGTCACCTCTTAGCTGAACTAAATAAATGCACATTTTAAATCTGCAGGATTGCAGCGTTACTGCAGTAAGACTGAATATTTGTATTATATGTTGAATTATGTATTTAACAAGGAGACAGCAGAGCGCAACATGGACAGTCTTGCACACTCACTTCCTGTTGCATACATGGGACCAGCCCAGTAATGTAGTGATGCTTGTCCTGGTCTGGCCACTTAGCAATCTTTTTAACAATTCTAAAAGAATGAAAACAATTAGCAGCACTCTTGCACTCACTGTCGTTCATCTGCGGGTTTGAATTCTTAATGTAGGCGGAGAACTTTGAGAACACATCCAGACCTGCGGTGTTTGATTCAGGATTGTGAGCTGCCAGCCGTGGGTATCTGTTGTGTCGGATAGAGGGATGAAGAGGAGGAGGACAAGTGGATATTGTAAACATTACAGTTGTGAAATGTAGGAATGGAATACAAACACAAACGCAGTGACATGGAGCCACAGAATGAATGGAAATAAAACATGCGTTAATGAAGAGAGTTACTTGGGAGGGCAGAGGGTTTCCTCCAGGAACTCTTCTATCTTGTTGGTGTCCGTCTTCACCTCTGTGCCGTACAGCAGGAAAGGAGGCTGAGCCCCAGGAGCCAGATCTTTAAGAACGTCTGGTTTCCTACTCACAAAACAGAGAAAGAGGAATAGCACACCACTTGTTTTCCAGGTGCTACTTGTGCAAAATGCTGAATGCATACGGTGCAGTTTGCATGTGCTAAAAGCACACTGTTGGAGATCCCACAATGCAATGCACTTAACTTGACCTTCTATTTCCAGTGTGAATGAAAATGTCTTTTTTTTCATTTGACCACCAATTTTTTGGAATACAGTGCTTATAATGTAACACACTACTGGTTTGAAACGATAAAAGTCTAGGTTTCACTTACTTGAATTTACACATTTATGCAACTGCGTTAGGTTTGTGAATGCACAGAAACACCCACCTCTTCATGTCCACAGTGGTCACATTAAAGGTCACGCCTTTCAGCCACAGGACCATGAAGAGCCGCTGAGAGAACGGGCAGTTCCCAATGCTCTGACCATCACTTCCTGCCTACACACACATACAGAGGATCACTGCAGCTTTCTGAACGACCCGATTTATGCTTAAACACAATTACAAAAAAAGTACTTTGAGTTTTGTTTTTGTGAACAGCAAACAGCCACAGCAAGGGATCACATTGCACCCAAACTGTGAATGTGAGTTTGCAGCCTGAATAATTAGTTGCGTCGAGCATGAAGAGTGCTCTTTACATTTACTCTGACATGGATTGAAAAGAGAAACAGTATAAAGACAACACACTTCATGTTTTGGCTAATCCAGCTGCATTGCTTTTTAAAGATTTTGATGCCTAAAACAGCCCAGAAAAGTTGAGACTTTTAGGACAATTTTCGGGATTCGATGAGTTGAAGTAACAAGGTGATATGAACCACATTACAAGGGAAACACATGTTTAAGTTGCTGAGGCAGTTGTATATAAAGTATATAAAAAATCCTAGTCCTTCATGAGCAAGCATGGATAGAGGCAAATAATCCAGTACGTTCAGACAGTTTAGTAGGATTTGGGGCATTTCATCCTTCTACATGCTTGTGAACTCTGATCCCTCAGATGACACTCTCTTAGGAACTATCATGTGTCCATAATAGATATCATGACGTGGACTCAGCTAAACCTTTGTCAGAGACTATCCACAGAAGTGAGTTAAGGCTTTATATGTGAAGCAGAAGCCACAAGCCTCATTGGCGATAGGGCAGAACGACTCTGCTTGCATGCAGGGGATTTGTCGAGATGAGTGATAATTGACATAGTGCCCCTCCTGAATAGTGGGATTTATGTCATAGTGACATAACATTTTAAGTGACATAACATTTTCTGCATATTTGAACCCTCTCCAGCAGTGACTGTATGATTTTGAGATCCATCTTTTCAAACTGAGCACAACTGAGGGACTCATACATAACTATCACAAAATGTGCAAACATTCATGCTCAAATAGGCAACATAATGCATTAAGAGTATTGGATTGAAAAGGTTGAAGTTGTGAAATTTTGTTTAAAGGTCATGTTTTTTTCATTTAGGGGGCTTTCACACTTGCACCCGGGGTTTTCCCGTCAGATTTATTAGACAGGACTGCTAAACAAATACAGCAAACTAATGGAGACTGAGAAAGGGAACTCAGGCGCTGATATTCTGTCATGAATCGGGTCCCAGCTGTTCCTCCCACTCGCCATCACCTTTTCCTCCCGGACTCCATTGCCCAGAATCCTCAGCATAGGAACTGATTACACACTCACCTGTTTCCTGTCAGTGGACTATTGTCACGCCCGTCTGTTACACATTCTCAGCACTGCTAAAATACAAATCCCACTTCCGATGCTTATTGACCAAACAGTTAAAATTACAGATATCGAGTGATATACACTGGCTGACTAGTGACCACTAGCCATGATAGGTGTGAGGTTTAGGGGGGGCAAGTGTAATAGAGGAGCTGTTCAGGTAAACCGCACTCCCCTGCCCGCATGAGCTGCACTGCTGGCTGTGGTATACATTGGTACATATTGTATTTTAAAACACTATAGAGGAGAGCAAACATTGTAAACTGTTAGACAACCTCCACATTTTATTTATAAATGCTACATATAAAACTGCTCTTATCAAGCCACTTCATTGGGACTTTAACAGTCAACTGAATAATGAAGAGCTCGTAGATTGACTACATTGAAAATATATTGCATATTAAGACATAAAAATGAAGGAATCGAGCAATTAATCAACCGTAAATGTATCTATTTAACTGACTCTTCGATTTATTTACTTATTTACAATTTAAAAAATAAAAAACTCATTCTATAGCACTTAATAATAACAAGGCATAAAATATTAGGCTATTAATGCAATGAAATGTTCATAATGTAATAATTTTCTCAATTTGTTTAATTGAGAATTTATGTAATATGAGCTCACAATAAAATGTTTTTCACATAAAGTAATAGATTATTTTGTGAAACACTTATTACATTATAAACACATGACAGCAACTTAATCACAGTTAATTGCAAACATAAAATAATAATGATTCATAACCTAATAGCAGCACATAGTGTATATGTGGAACAATATTTACAATAGAAAAAATTTATCTCAACATAAAATTATGAGCACATTAGGCTACATTGCGAAGTCAAAGTGTTTCATAGAAATTGCACAAATTTTGTGGTTTTGATCTGCTCCATCATTTTAATTTGCTATGGCCCCAAAACAGATTTGAAGTTTTATGCACTGGATTAATAAATAAATATAATCAACAATAAATATAATATAATATAATCATTTAAATAGCAACCATAAAAAAACTACATATTCTGCATATTCATATGTTAGTAATGTGCTGTTGAATTATTGTTTTTTCTAACTAATTTTTTCAAGCTACCAGCCAAATCTTCCTGTAGTAAACCTAACACAAGTTCTTCACAAACTGTTCGTTTCACCATCTTCCCGTGGTGGAAACAGCTTAAGCTCACACGAGACGATACGATATGCGTACCATAGATGCATCCTTCAGTTTGTGGATTTATTATTGTTTTCCATTGGTTGCTGGTTGAAACTGCTATTTGCTTCATTAATATTATTTTAGTTATTTAAATTATTGGTGTTAAAAGGGGATTTTTTTTTCTTTTGCTTTAAGTTGTGTTGAGTCTGGCAACTCTTTTTACTGCATATGCACTCTTTATACACGCATATGAACATGAAGCATATATTATGATCTTTGCAGTGAGCAGATCTCAACCCAGTTGGACACCTATATGGGAGATTTTGGACTGAGGTGTCAGACAGTGCTCTCCACTACCATCATCAAAACACCAAATGCAGGAATATCTTTAGGAAGAATGGTGCATGCCTCCAGTAGAGGTTCGGGGAGCACTGAAGCTGTGCTGGCAGCACGTGGCGCCCCAACACCTTACTTTCCTGTTCATCACGGTAAATCTGCTTCGAAACAGTATGTATTGTGTTATTTTAAGTGCTATAGAAATAAAGGTGACGTGACCTGACTGTAATACTATTACTACTAATAACATTATCAACAACAATAAAAAATATTTAAATCTGGTGCATTTTTCATATGTAGTTTAAAACTATATTTAGATTAAAAGAAAATCACCGTTTTCTATTTATATTTTTTTTCACAAAATGACAACATTTTTGGTGATTTCATAAGGTAATGCCATAATTTAAAAACCGTTATTACATTACAAGCTCACGATTTTATCACGTTTTGAGCCAATTACTACATTACAAATATTTTATTACATCACTAATGATAGGTTTATTACATTATGTGAAGGTATTCAGTTGGCTAAAGCTGCATTAGTCCTGAGTGAAGTCACGAATAATGGCCTTTGATTCTCCAGCAGCCTGCGGGGAAACCCACCTTCACGAAGAGCTCAACCTCAGGTCTCTCCTCACTCATCTCGGACGCTCCTCCAGCAACGACCAAATAACTACAGAGAGAGCTTTATGACAGCGATCCTGCAGCTCAATAAATCAATGTCTTGTATTCCTGTCGCCTTTTCTCCGAGCTCACTTCCGCTGTGCCTTGGACAGTTGCAACTTTTCCCCTTCGAGCTATGAATCTGGCAGTGGGAGGGGAATTTGGAGAAAGCCCAAACAAACGCCGCCAAAAAGTGTCTTATTTCTGCGTGACTAATGAACTGTACGAACGTTTACTGTTAGCGTTTTGTATCGAAATCAATAACGCCTACAGCAAGATCAGCCTCTCTCTCTCTCTCTCTCTCTCTCTCTCATTTCCTGATTTTGACGAGCCTTGAACTTCCTCTAACTTGTAACCATATTATAACTGTTGGTGATGCTATATGCGCGCGCAAGGTCTTTTCTTCCGTCTGCGCTATTTTTAACCCTGCAATGTCAAACGTTTGCAAACAAACTAGACAACTGTTTAATATGCATGGTGACACTCGTCACAGTTACTATGAAGTAGTTTTTACTTTTGTTTTAGGACAATATAATGGTCCCAAAGCAATAATTAATATAACTTAATTTTAATGATAAGTAACAACTTAGAGCAAATTGTATCCCGAATTTGATGGAATAATAACACGTTTGCTTATATTAGGCTATATCAGGGGCGTAGCCATCATTTCAGAAGTGAGGGGGACAGAAATGTTATATATATATTAGGGATGCACCGATACCGATACTGGTATCGGTATCGGGCCCGATACTGGCCTCCTGTACTCGTACTGGTACTCGTTAAAATGCCCCGATACCAAACGCCGATACCACACAGCATGTGATAAGCGCCATATTTAAACAAAGAAACACTGACAACAGACAGCAGAAAGGAGTTATGGATGTCTACTACGAAGTATATGTATGCAATGAATATAATGTTAAACATTCAGTATTAACGCCTGTATAGCTGAAGTGCGCGAGCTGATAAAAAAAGCACGCTGAGTGGATTGAGCGCGCGGCGGCGCAGATGCGCGAGCTTGTCGAATGAATATATCTTTCTCACAGACATCACTGGAAAGTTTGTAGTTCGGTCGGATATGTCAAAAACAAGTAAGTAAAACAATGCACAAGTTACTTAACGGTAGGGAGAGAGACAGAGAGGGAGAGAGAGAGAGAGAGCGCGCGCAATTCTGTTGTGTGATCTTTGATGTTCACTCACTGAGCACACGCATCATTTGAATTAAAACGAAATCGTACAAATAAAACCATTCATAGGGGCATTCACTATAATCATCATTTATTTTCAACCTTAGGCATACACGACTTTCTAGCGAAAGTGAATCTAGCAGCCTGTGTGAAATGCGCTAGACTGTACTATTCTGCATCAGCACAAACACGTGCAGGCGTTGCGCGTGTTTTGCTTGCTTGAGTGTTTCTGCATTATATGAGTGGCTTTGGAATATAAATCGCAGCACGTTTCAGATGAAAAAACGCGACTTCTATTTCTGAAAATATCACAGTTAGGAGATTTATAACGAGTGGTTCCCTGCATTATTACAGCAAAGCGCGTGATTAAAGTACTAAGCCGCTGCAATAATGCTATTAAATTAAAGATGATGTACCATAGAGCAAAAAAATGAACAGTAAAAGTAACAAAAACTTGTAAAATACATTTTAATGGGCATAATTAAGTGTGAAAATAACCGAAGGATATACAGTGAAACCAAAAATGATTCAGAGACCAGATATAATTTTTGATATTTTTTTACTAGTGGGTGCAGGACACTATAGTTCATTTATGTAAGTGAGGATAGCAAAATAAAGTAAACTGTGACAAATCATACCCAAAAATTCTTCATACAGTGGACTACCAGTAAAATTGATACAAATTTGGGTCCAAAAATTATTCAGACCGAGTCTGGGAAAAAAACTGAAGTTCAGGTTTTCATGAACCTGGGTGACAGCATGCCCAGGAGACTACAGGCTGTCATTGAGGCTAAGGGTTGCCCGACAAAGTATTCATAGTTGTGTAAATACTGTCATACTAACAGCTGTCTGAATTATTTTGGTTGATTGTAATCTATTACATACCTTTCTATCAAAATTATGTAGCATTATCAAGTTTAAATCTATATTTATTCACACCGGCTCTTGAAAACCTCTATGCGAACACACTTGCCCGAAAAAGTGGGGGGATGAACTTACCTGATATTAAAAGTGGGGGGGACACGTCCCCCGCATAACCTACGCCCCTGGGCTATATATATATAATATGAATATTAATTTAAGTGTTTCTCACTTAAAGGTGAAGTATCACTTTTACAGCCAACGTAATTCTGACACCTAGTGGTAGAAACCTGAAAAATTAACATTTTGAATTAGTTAATTGTCTGAGTAAGTACTAGTCCAATATTGGAATCCTGAGCCGACTAGAAACAAAAGAAAACAAAAACCTTGAGAATAACTGTTTCAGCGACTTTCCACAAAACATAATTGTTGCATTCAAAACTGAATTAAAGCTTCTAGTACATTTTTAATCCCAATATTATAGATTTCTTTAAACTGAAGTCCAATTCCTCCAGTAACTCAAGAGATGGATAAAGGGCTGGGGTGTGTGTGTGTGTGTGTGTGTGTCTAATCTCCTAAATACTCATAGACCATTATTTTTTTAATCTTAATTTTAATCGTATTTGTCAACATATTTGTCAAGTTGTCAGACATGACTCAATGTATGTCAAATTGAAGAAGGGACACTATATTATTTATATACTTCCATAATACTTCCATAAAGACTGGAAAAGAGACATGTTTATTGGATAACTATATCATCATATCCAATCACATGAGGCCAATATATATAAAAACAATACTGATTCACTAAAATCAAAAGTGGGAGGGTCTGGAGCGCAGTGCTCTGAGACAATCTGAAACAAGCCAATTAGAGCTCAGCCTCAGTCACATGCTTTTCAAAAGTTTACAGACTTGTAAAGCGCCCCGCACACACAACAAACGAAACAGAGTTTAGATTTTTTGATTTTTGATAGGTGCTAACATAACTACCAGTCCAATATGACTAAATAATGCAATTTTGTGGTTATTTTGCAATATATATTTAACTTATTTTCAACATGTTGAAGTAGGCTTCTTCCCTGGCTAACTTGAAGGGGGCGGCTACAAGTCACATCACATTTCTGTTTCCAGTACATGGCCTATGCGGCTGTCACATGGCGAAAGGCAAGGAAATTAACTGTTGCATCTATGTGGTCACAAAGACAACGAACAAATCACTCTCTGAGACAACTCATACTCCTGAGTCATATAAAATGCCTATTGCAGCATCCGCAACTTCTGGACCTGCCTTTATTTATGACACCGTTGGCACAGTTTGTCACTGCTGTGAAATTAAACCACTATTAAAACACCTCAATATAGCCAGCCTAACCTTTAGGCAATAGCCCTCCATTAAGCTTAACGACAAGCAAGCTAGGCTGGCATCGACGTAAAATAACATTGTTCAAGGCCGGAAATGCCACCAACATTAATAAAAATGCCACCAAACTTAAAGACAAGAATTGCCCCTGTTTGAGTTCTTATTTTTTGTGTATAATATAATAATATAATTCCATTATAAATGGCTCATCTCTATGACCTAATCATTTTGAAAGGTATACCATCCAGAAAATATGGTTCTAAAAAAGGCATCCACCTCCCTACAAATGTTCCCACATAAATAATTTAGAATAAGTGAGAAAATTAAAAGGATAACACTGTTGAATATCTGATGTACACACACACACACACACACAAAGAGTTCAGATTGACCTAAAGTCTCAGGTGTACAAAAGTTAGCTGAAGCAGTCTACACAGCATTTTCACTCAGAGTCATCGCCTCTCCCTGCTACCCTCACCTGACAGATTTATATATATATATATATATATATATTGTAACTGCTATGC